TTTTTTTTTTTTTAATTAGCAGCAGTAATAATTTACATTGTGTACAATAACAAGCCTTTTATTTTGTACTACGCATAAACAATACACATTTTGAAACCTAGTTTTCTAGAGAAACCAACCTACTTCACTTGTTACAGCCCTGCTTTATAGAATAGTAATTGAAATGCCTTTAATAGTAGTGTGTTATAGGGTGCCACAGTCAAGGTTATCACAACTGTTTAAAGAAGTCTGATAAACAATGAAGCTAATTTACATTGATGATTTGAAGGAGCATTAACAGTGGTTTTGCTAGCTATTCTGGGAAAGGGCACCCGAGCAAGAATTTTCAAAATATCATCGACATTTGTCCAAAAAAAGTGGAAATATCATCTGTGTTCCCACATTATCAAGGTGGGAGAAAGTAATAATATAAGTTTGGAAAATAAAGCCTGCAATGTGATAAGCAACGATTTTCATCTAGCTGGTTTTTTTTTACAATAAAATGTATATCAATAAATTAACATATCAATTTTTAAGTTTTTGGTATTCATGTATTTTGAATGCTACTCCATGGACAAGTAGTACTTTGAATGTTGCACATATAACGACTGAAAACTTGTATAAACATGATTTTTAATCTAATTGGGAAAGTAAAGATTGAAATTGGTAAAATACAGGGTAATTTTTCAACTGGGAATGGGTCCCTGTTAGTGTATCGGACCCTATAAATACCTGGCAAAAACCCTGATTCATGTATATCATACACATTTTTTATAAGAATTAAAACATGACAGAGTCAGAGGCTGAATTTTCAGAATTCCCCTTGATCTGCCTCTGCCGTTATATACATGTATGTAATATATACTAGGAGTATTTTTGTATAAAATTGCTTGTGATAGGCAATTTTTTTCTTATTTTTGGACAAGGTATGGGCTATATTGAATAGAAGTCCTTATTAAGCTCATCTGGCCTAGCCATTGTGTTTGGCATTATAGAGTTGTTTTGAAGCTTTTGCAAACTATTCTTGTGACTTCTTGTATATATAATAACAAATTACCCATGTAAAGAACTTGCTGACAAAATCAATTTTATAGGTTCTTTAAGAATTCTGCAAACCTTATGTTCTGTAGTTTGCATGCTTAGTGTCCGACTGAGAACTGTTATTTACTGTAGTGAAACTGATATGTGTAATGAATCAAATATGTGTCACTATGTTTGAATTTTCCAAAAAAAAAAAGCTATGTATGTAAGGATCAGATTATAGATAGATATTCATTATTGTGTGTTTCTGAACAATTAAAGTATCAAGTGTCTTTCCGGTCTATTTCACTCAAAAGCCCAGGGCTTTATCGGGGTACTTTAAGGGCTTTTTAAAGGATCCATTAAAAATCAAGGAAAATATGTAATGTTTCCAAATTTGCCCCTTAAAAACACTGGGAAAAATCTAAAGAGAAAAATAAGAACTGCATAAACGTTAATAAAATACTTGCCATTATGGAGTTTACAAAATGCAGCATATTTGGAAAGAACAGAAGAATGAGCATGTTGTCATTAAGATAAGCTTAGTCTTATTTCTTGTTGTCATTTTATTTTTTTATTTTATCATTTTATACCTTGGATTGAAAAATGATCAATGTCTTGACAAATTTAGAGGAAAAAAATGCCTATATCATATTAAATTAATAATATATAAGTTGAGTGTATTTGTGTGGATTAATAGTATAAACTACACCTTTTTATATTTTAGGCTACTGAGCTGTTTACAGAGAAAAGCTGAAACATGGCATCGATAAAGGTAAGCAAACTGATCACACATTAAATTGCATTTGGTTTCAATTCTATCCTAATTTTAAATTGATCTGTATAAGGCTACAGGTAGATTTGTACTGAAAATGTGTCAACAAGTGTGATATAATGAGTCACATGATATCGAGGGTGTCTCCAGGAGAGATTATGTTGCTCTAGTATAGACTGTTCCGTGTTTGTTTGTTTGGGAGGTATAGGCCTGTAAAGGGTCCCTGTAAAGGAGTTGTACTGAGTGTCAGGTAAAGTTGTTGCTTGTACAGGTGTATCAACATTGAACCTATAATGGACAGGGAGGCAGTTAGTCACACTTGGCTTTGACCAGTGATTGACAGGTTAACTGCCCAATTCATTAGGAGGTTTGCCTGGAGGTCTATAGAAAAGAGATTTATATATGTATATATGGCCTGTTCTCTGGCCATGGTCAGGCTGACTGATGGCCTAGCTCATAAAACAGTTGTAATATAACAATTTACTAGCCGGTGTCACTTAAACACACATAAAACTTTCAACTTAACATATAGACATTCCTATGCTAAACAACTGTCAACCCATTTACAGATTGAATTTTTGTATAAAAATAAATTGTAGTGTGACAATTATATCACCACGCTTTGTTTTATCTACTTGTAAATCAAAAGAAATCTACAGCCAATTCATTTTGTTCTGATGTGCAGATCATTTGTACGAGTGATTCTCCACACAACCACCACATTATACATGCACATTAATTGTAACAAGATTTTGTCCTTTGCTAATACTGTCTTAGAAATTGCAGGTCAAAATGAAAATTTGAAATTAAGTGTATGTATGGTCTGATGACACCAGTGACAAAGCCGTCCCAGATTCACAGATCTAGAGACATTACAGTTATCAATTTAAAGGGGTCAAGTGTCATTGACCAGGGGTCTTGTTGTGACCTTTTGTCATATATACAGTGTATGTAACCCCAAGGCCTTGGGTGGGTAGAGCCAGCACTAGTGTCAACAGATAAATGTTATGGGCTAATGATATTCTGAAACGGGAATCCAGCACTACCTTCATACCTAAGCTTACAAGTTACAAAGATAAGCCTGTTGCATTATTTGTTATAAGTAAAGCTACACTCCATTATACATGAGATTACATATAAATATATCACTAAGCTGATTATAAAACAAAAGTATCCATTCCTATAAACAAAGTACTTTTCCTTACCAACTGAAAGAATAGATTGATCAGTTTGGTACCAGGGTTAAAATTTGCAATATGTTCCTTTGATTTACATGATGATGTATAATGCACTTATGATTTTCACTGACCTGCTAAAAACATTTTCTATGTTATAATTGAGGCAGGACTACCGGGGGTAATTTCGCAAATACAGCAAGAACAGTGTGCACTAGCTAGTTTCCACATACATTTGGTTGACAGGAAATAACTCTTAAAAAACCCTTATGTGAAGTAAATACACAGAAATGAATTCTACTCTGTGTCACAGCATTGTAATTTCCTTGTACATGCTCGCAGCCTTTGTAGGAAGGATTGTCTAATATGAAAAATACTAAATAAGGTATCATTTTATAGACTTGTTTGCTAGTTGGTGCCAATATGGTCCTTTCTGAAGTGGTAAAAGTAGGGGTGTCTTTTCTTAAAATCTTTTATAAGTTGGTTTTATCCCAGCATAAAAGGACATTGACCGAATCATGTTTGTTTAAACCTTTTTTGCATTTTATTGCTCTTTACAGTTATCAGCAGATGTATGTGCACTGTCAATATCACTGAAGACTTGAAGTGCTAAATATACAATAGATAGATATACTCTATAGCAATAAGTTTAATTGGTTCACATTTACACAGGAATATTTACTATTGCTTAGACATCCATTGACAAGATTATTTACATTCATTCATCATTTCAGTAATGGTCTAAAATATAACTTTTGTAATGAAGTTATAGATCTGATCTTAAAATGTAATCGTTCCCTGCACAGCGAAAAATAATTTTGATGGATTGTCTCCCATTTACTGTAATAAAAAGAAATTTGAGACACTTTGGAGAAGGTTAGTATAGTACATTATGGGACAAAAAAACTATATACTTCCTTGCAAAAAATAACCTCCAAATGTTTGGAAAATAAGGTCTTGGATCCTTAGCTTGAGGTCTATTTGGTACTTTTAGATATGGAATGAAAAGATCTTATATATATCTAATGTTTTAAATATGGCACATTTGCTGAAATGAAAAAAAGGTAAAACAATAATAATAAATTCTAAATGAAAACTTAGTTTGAAAAAATTGCAAATGAGATGTATCTGACAATTTGTAATTTCACTGATCATGATTTCCCTATATTACTGAAACTTACTTACTGTGTTAATTCGATAATAAGCCAAATAAAGTATGCTATCTTTCACTTTTAATGTTCATGGCCGTATATGATTATCTTAGCAAGAACATATCTTCTTTTTGTAATTATTTGGGATTTGACAGGGAAATAATTAGGTCGTGAATATATGTTCAGAAACCTGTACAATGCAGAAATTCTGTTTGACCATCATTGTAGGCCAACCCTATAACATTATAAGGCATTTGCTTCAAGCACATGTTCACTAATCAGATCCAGCTGTAAACTTAAGAAGACTATAGGGCACATGTTTCTTAGCATTTATATTAGGGTAATTGATACTTCTTAAAAACCATTACCAGTAATTGCAAATTGCTGATGTCCATGTATTCAACTGGTGTTTTAAATTTAGATATTGCGACTGGAATGTTACCTGTACATGTTAATTGTGCCATTGTTATACATTGTGTTTAACATGAATGGTAGTCAACTCACTTTGAATGCTGATCTATAGTAGGGCTTTTATGAAACAGGCTATAGCTCAGTAATGCTGCTTGTACACTAACAAGTTACATAAATGCAAGTATCAATTGAGGGTAAATATAATAACAATCTACTTGTGTTTCATGGTTGTAGATATATAAAACAGACACATGTATAGAATAGAACTGACTTTAGCAGATGATCTATAATGGCATGGGTCATTGGCGATAGTTGTTCAACTATAGCAAGTGTTGCCATAGTTGTAGTACTATTATCATGTGGTAATTTGATGTGTATTGAAATATTATTGCTGTGGTATTTAATTTTTTTTATTTAAATGTGTTGTCAACATTTAAATTGTATAATTGTAAATAGAGCATAAACGGAGAGCAATTTTAATTGCCTTTAACCTTTTAGTTCACAAGGATCTAATTTGTCAAAGTGAATATTTAGCCATGTATGTGGTACATGCACTTATATTACTGTTGCTCTTATTTATGTCTTGACCTAGTACTAGATCCTGCAATAATGTCTGTAACTATAAATTTTGCTGCTTTGTTGGATTCCTGATCAAATCCTTCCGTACATGTAAAGTACAAAAATAACTCTGCCATGAAAATTGCTTGGTATACTGTTTACTTATCTTGCAACAGTTAATTATATATCGTCTAGAATTCAAACTAACTGATCAGGTTACAGCATTTCAGAAATGCAGCACTTCAATGACTCCATTGACTGGCTCCATCATCTTTAAACATTGTCTTTAATAAATTAAACACCATGTTATTGGAGACATTCCCATGCCTTACCAAAAGCACTCGTCCACACGCCCTGACGAGTGATAATGACATGGTGCCGAGTGGTTTAACCTATGCTACTCATCCATGTGCCAAGTAAATTTTGTTCCTGTATTAAATTTGTGCAACAACACTTTCATAATTGTATTAATAAATACCAGTAAAACTGAAATAGAATCAAATAAAACTAATATCTAGAATCCGACATGTCTTCATAGTTCTGTGATTTATAATTGACACTTCAGTAGATCATCAGTATTGGCAGTGCGTTTGCAGGTTTGCCACAAGCTTGCAAGCGCTAAATGATGCTTACTTTAGCTCTGGACGCTTCTAGGGTAAAGTATAAGGACACCCTCTCTTATGTCCTGCAAAACCTAGATGGAATAAGTGTCCGTTGCCCCAGGAAATTATGCAGGTAGTTTGGGGTTCTGTACACAAAATAGCACTTGTATGCACACATTATAAATACTACATCATTTTACATTCAATTGCCTTTTATATTTTGCCAAGTAAAAATCATATGTGCTGAATGACTTTCTTTACTTACTAGTATTACTTAGCTCAATGGTGAACTGGTTAAAAAAATTATTTGAGGGCCTGCATTTGCAACTAACCATAGAATTATAATGTGTACAAGTTTGAATCACTGATTAACAAGTGTCTTGACTTATATCCACTTCTGTGGTCGAATATTTTGCTGTAGCGATTATGATATGTATATATGTGGTTTTAAATTTTAACTTTTTCACATCACAAATATTTGTTCCACATTTAGGATACCAAGTCAGCAGGAAAGACCTCTAGGTCCCGGTCCAAGTCTAAGTCCAGGAGCCGTAGTCGTAGTCGCAGCAGAAGCAGATCAAGAGGACGAACTTCATCAGTAACTCGCCAACGCAAACCCACCACCCCAAAACCCAAACAGGAAAAGATGGAGTCAAACTCACCAGCCAGGACAAGAAACAGAACCCCTGAAAGGGCTGTAACTCCAACCAGAAAGTCTGCTCGTCTTCAGAACCTGGTGATTATGATTTGACATGTTAACATTATTCATAGGATAAAAAATCATACTTGACTTAAATGTGATTAGAATAACTTTATAGGAAGGAGAATGTATTCCCTTTTCAAAGCATTTTACTTGTCTTAAAACAAAATAAAACGTCTTCATTTTGAAATTTCTGTTTGATAGACCCTTGCCCCAGAGGAGAGGAAGCCATTGGAGTTTGAACCATCAGCGGAGGAGGAGAAGCGTGTTAGCCGCACAAAGAAGACAGAGTTTGGAGGAGCCATTGGAGCATTTTTCATGATCTTAGGACTTCCAATCACAGTTTACTTTTTCAACTTTGTTTGCAGCAAGGTAGTCACATAAGTCTTTTTATCTCTTTTACAACTAGCTGTTATGTATACAGTGTTGCTTAATCTAATAGTATTCAAAGTTGTTATACAGTTGTGTATGTTTTTGATCTATTTAATTAAAATAAGCTTTGTTTCTGTAGAACAATTGCAAGCCCCACCTACCCGTTGTGTCATTGGACTGGAGGAATTACTTTGACGGTCAGGCTGCTGCAATATACCTCGGGTGGATGGCTTTCCAGGCTGTACTCTATATGGTACCTGTTGGGCCAGTGGTCATGGGTCAGCCTCTTCGTTCTGGTCAGCGACTTAAGTACAGGTGTAATGGTGAGACTCTAATACAACTGTTGTTAAATCAATGCTATTTAAGTGGTTACCAGTAGGAGTGAAACGATTCACCGCGATTATGGTGAACCGCGATT